CATGGGCAAATAAAGTCTACACTAAAAAAGAACTTGTGTGATCAATTCAACCTCTATTATGCTACACAAAGTGTTTAGGAACATTATGGTATCTGCCCTCTAATAGCAGAGAGAGGAGGACATTTTGCATATATCAATATATGAAGGTAGGAAGCCATACCCCTCCCATTAAATATTTTTGGCAGCTTGCAGAAGCTGGGTAATTGGTTCAGGTTATACTGTAACAGAATTTTGTTGGGTGCTCAGTCTCCACCCATCTCCCTCCTACTACTCAACAGGCTGAATCTCCAGAAATGAGTGGACTTGAGAGGGGATTTAACTCGTTTAAATTGTACTCCAGTTCACCATCTGAGGTCACCCTTAATTCAGTTAAAGGCATTTCCCTTTTAGTAATCTTAGTCTTGATAAGCTACATTTGATGAAAGATAGAGTAGAAGTCAGGCCTAAAGTAATATAGTCCTATTGATATTTACTTGGGAGTACAAAAAAAAAAAAAAAGGAGATGTAGTTTTTCAAGACTGAAATCTTATTCCAGATCTGGCTGCAACAATGCAGATGACCTCCAGATGGCAAAAACAACAATTCATCTGGAATTCTGCAGCCTAGACCTGGTACAGTAGTCTTAGATTACACTCTACTAAGTCAATTAGGCTCTATTAAATTTTGAATCAAGAGTATTACAGAAGATTTAGGCTTCTCATTACTCTCCCAAACTTACAGAGGAAGGCAAGGTTATTCAAAGCAACATTAGTATTTATCTACTCTTTTAAAACAGACCAATGAAACAGGTTTATTGACATAGTTTTATTGACTAACCCTTTCATTAAGTTTAGGTTCTACTTCCAAAGAGCATAATTAACATGCTCTTTTCTCAAAACTATTTTAAAAAAGCACAATTTCAGAATCTGATGCATTCTTTTAAACCATTTTCTGGTAACTTTTCTATGGTTTGCAGCCAGCTTCCACCAAGGTGGTCCCCTTCGTTTGTGTTGGATGAAAACTTGCCATAATAATCAGTGAGAGAGCACTAGATTACAGAAGGTTGCTCCGCAGAATAAGAAATGAACCTTGTTCCTTTAAGGGTTAGTTCCAGCTCTTTTATAGCCAATGCCAGCAAATTCCACTACAGCCTTTCAGCTTTGTTTGTTCCTAAGATCCTAGATACCATTGCCCAGAACTGCCTACAGGTCTGGCTGCCCTTTTCAGATCAGCAGTTGCTTTCTCATTTCCTTAAATCTTACTGGCACCTTTTCTTGCTGCTAGACCACCACTCTCTCTTCATTCTTCTACCTTGCCATTGCACACAGCAACTTTCTTCCACATCTAGCCAACCGTCCCTGATTTCAAAACACTAAGCAGGGTTAGTGCTAAAAAGCACTTGTGTGAGAGACCACCAGGAGACCCCAAAGCTATAGGCTAGACTGAGAAGTTGAAAAAACATCCCAGAAGAAAGGAATGGCAGAACAGGCTTTATTCTATTACCAAGACAATCACATATATGTGTCCACAAAGTCACCAAGGGTTAAGGTGGTTTTGAGGGAGTCTTTAACTTGGTTTATTCTCCTCAGCTACTGAGGAAACAAATTATACAATGGTGCAAAAGGCACATGCTCTTTGACAAAGACAGTGTTTACAACACATTAGAAAATTAAGAAGTGCTATTTTGTTATCTGTATTCTTTTTATTAGTTAATATGGTACAATGCAAGGTCATTCCTATCTAACCAGTATGCAAAGAAAATGCAACAACACGTCTGTAGCAAAAAGATATCCCTAGGGTTGGGCAACCTAGCATTCTCCAAATTTCTGGACAACTCCCACAAGACAACCCCTCTTTCTTGTGCAAGCTGGCTGGAGCTGATGGGGATGAAGACTGAAACATCTACAGAGTAGCAGATCAGAACACATTCCCACAAAAGTAAAGCGTGTTTCATCCCATCATGTTACTATTGTTATATTACATCCAAAGGGGGGGGGAAAAAACTTGGCATCTACCCCAATGACGACATAAACAAACTTTTTTTATTTCAGAAAAGATGCCCAAACTCCTTTTTCCTGTTACATTGCAAGTGTAATTCCCTTAAGCTTCTTCATTACAGGTAGCCCTCACTTACCGACCACTCATTCAGCAACTGTTTGAACTTATGACAGTGCTGAAAAAAAGACATACGGGTCCATCCAGTTGCAGTCATTGCAGTGCCCCCAGGGTCACGCGATCGTAATTCAGGCACATATTTACGATGGTTGCAGTTTCCCACACTCACATGATCACCATTTGTGACCTTCGCTGCCAGCTTCCAACAAGCAAAGTCAATGAGGAAATCAGTAGGAAGTTGTGGTCACGTGATGTCGTGCTTAACAACCTGTGATAATTCACTTAACAACCACAGCCAAAACTGACGTCATCAGTTTGGATTTTGGATTCAAATACAAATGTTGATGCAGAGCATACTACAAATACAGATTCCATTTAAA